CGTTTCAAAATAACTATTAACCATAATAATTAAAAAACCAATTTCTTCTTTATTTATTCTTGTAACATGCATCCAAATCAAGTCAATTTAAAACATTTTCAACTATTCAAAACCATTAAGTTATTAGAAAGTGTTTTCAAAATAGTGTAGGCATCAAAGTATTCCAGAAATCAAGACCATAAATATGTAAGGTGGTGCACAATCATGCCTTCGCCTTTCCGCGATCATCTGAAGTACCTGGAACAAAATCCAAAACTGTATGCCCGAAGCTTAGTGACTTCCCCCAAAACAGCCGCACAAAAAATAAGACATATATAATAACGTTACTATGGGCCCAATCAACCATCAGGTAGGCATTCCCCAAGCCCTCAACCATCAGGTTGGAATGCCAACATACTATGGGTTCAGTCATCCTCGGGATGGTATACCCTCGGCCCATACCCATCGAGTTGGAAAGCCTACATACTACCATTCCAATCATCCTCAGGATGGAATACTCATGGCCCACAACCATCAGGTTGGAATTCCCCAGTCTGTTGGCTCTCGTACATAGAAGATAAGCCTCAACCATCAATCAAACATGTGCATATATATCAAATAATCACATAACAATCTATAGACAACCAAACCAATGTAACATATCATAACAACATAATAACATCCTATCCACCAAGATACCGATCTAACAGATCATAACAGCATAATATCATCCTATCTACCTGGATACTGATCTAACAAATCATAACATCATAATAACATGCTATCTACCAGGATACTGATCTAACATATCATACGATAGTGAGGAAAACTCACCTCATAAGTAGCTTGGGATGATAATGTCAACTCTCCAAATACAAATCCACACTCAACCACCTACATCCACCAGTGATCCACTTCCAGCAATTTCCAATTTACTAAAATACCCCATAAAGTCAAACTGGTCAACCCTTGTTCAAAGTCAAAGTCAATGGTCAAGGTCAACAATCCATGTTGACCCAACTCATCGAGTGTAGTGCATTTACTCGTCGAGTGCTTCCAGAACTTGAAAAATCGGGGAAACCCTAGTTGACTCGCCGAGTTTCTAGATAACTCATCGAGTCATCTCACTGACTTGCCAAGTCCATGTAGAAACCAAAAACAACCAACCTTCATCTGACTCCTCGAGTTGACCATGAAACTCGTCGAGTCCCCTTAGTCCATTTCTCATTCAGATGTTTTTAAGCTACCCCAAAGCTCCAAATTGTAGATCTAGCTTCCTAAGGTGAAGTTATCACGTATAGTTGCAAAGTTTACGTGCATGAAAAGTCTTAAAGGCCAAAACCAATCTAAAGAAGAAGTTTTAGGTAAGGAGAAGGCCATAACTTGCTAAAGACTAGAACTTTATGGCTATAAGTTGCTAGAGGAGTCCATATCTGAAGTTACAACCTCAAATCAGGCCTAAAACCATAAATAACCCCACAACAAACTAGAAATAGCCCTAAACGTTTGCATGATGAGATTTAGGTAGAGAGAAGTCAAGTTAATGACTTGTTACTTTCAAGATGATGCTAATATGAAGTAGAAATCAGATCCACAAGCTTCTCCTCGTTCTAAGCTCCTTACACTTGAAGTTGTCTAAACAAAATCTTCCTTCCAAGCTTTTAGCACACAAAAATGGAGAGTAGATGCGATTAGGGTTTTTTGAGCTCAAGGGGCATGGTAAGGCCGGCAGAGGGAGGCTAATGATCCTTTAAATAGGGTGTAAAACCTTGGAAATTGTGGTTTCATTTTCCAGCTCCTACTTGTCGATTTGGGGTCATCCAACTCGTCGAGTAGACCTCCTAAATCATGCGGCCTGATCCGCTACTACACACCAAGTTGGGGCATCTAACTCGTCGAGTAGGTCTAAGAATGTGAATATAAGCTTTAATTTTTATACCCATGAGTCGGGGTGTTACAATTCGCGCCTACTTGAGTAGATCTCCTAAAGCACGCAGCCTGATCCGCTTCGACACAACAAGTTGGGTTGCCCTCAAGACCTAAAAGGAACCTGTTATTATTAGAAATATCATCAATCGTTATTGACCTTAGACATACTTTCCAACATTTTATACTTAAAATCAACTGATGTTGATTATTATTCGACATTTAATTCATGAACTAATATTGAAGCTTTATGTTTCGTTTATTTTTTTTTGTTGTCTCTTCAACTCCCTTATTTTTTGCAATTACTATGTAACACTTTGAATTTGTTTTCATATTGGCTTGATATTTTATGGTGTAATGGGTTTCTTGGAACATGTAACAAATTATCTCATCTTTATAATCATTATCAACTGTTTCTTTAGACTACAACTCCCTCAGTGGGTTTAAGAATTGATGATGTGTAATTAACATTTGGGAGTTAGTGTTACAAGTTACTATTATCTTGAAGGGTACATCATAATGACTAAAGGAATAAAGGAGCACATATGGTTACATGGTATCATTATAAGTCTTGGGTGGAAGGTAGAGAAGCTTATCTTGTTTTTTGACCGTTAACGTAATTTGTGTCTCGTAAAGAATTGAGTTATGGAAAGACAAAACATATTGACGTAAGGTCGAATTGCATTAGAAATGTTTTGTAAGAAAAAAGGCTTTCTATTCAAAAGATATATATATATATATATATATATATATATATATATATATATATATATATATATATATATTATATATATATATATATATATATATATATATATATATATAGGAGATCTCAATTGATATGTTGATAAATTCGTTGGCCATAGAAAATTTCAAGCATTGCTTGGACTTACTAGATGTTCATTGGTCGTAAGTCTCTTCCGGCTAAAATGGTAAGAGGAAGTGAGAGTGTTTGGTTTCTAGAGTTTGGATTATACTTAAGTTAAAGTGGAGATTGTTTAATGTGACTTGAGAATTGTTGACCCGAAATATCCGACCCGCCGAGCAAAGTGAAGTAATCTTACACCCGATATTGACGGGATAAGTGTTTAGAGCATGACAGATAGCTCGAATTTTATTGTACCATTATTGCCCCAGCTTGTGGGTAATAATACTCCTATTGTCTATAGACGTAGGTCACATTTATATGTGTGTTTTATTCTGGTTTATTTATGACAACCTATTTTAGATCAAACATGGATAGGACCCACATCTAGTAAGATAATCTATGCTATTTCCTTGAGGATTGCAGGAGAGAAACAAATCTTAACAATACACTCGTAGTTCTATCAACAAAACTAATTAATTAATATGTAAGCAATTAAGAATATCGCATGCATTTTGCTTTTAAAAAATAATATTTTTGGTTCCAATCCACAAAACAATATTAGGAGCCCTTTAGACTAGGGTGTGTTGCGTTACAGAAACAGATTGAACCTGAATAACAGAGAACAAAAAATGAAGATTTACTAGAACCAAGGATCGGACTGGTATAAAGGAATCAATTTATGTTTGGTTTTCAGTAAGAGACCTGTTACACCAGGTTTGGAACCGGTTAAGACCGAAGAAAGTTGTGATCAATGCATTTGGAATCGGAAATGACCGGAAACTGGGTTTTAAACCGAAAGAACCGAAAATCGGAGTTTAGATCCAAAAAAACCAAAACCATTTTTTTTTTTTTGGTATAAGGATTTTTTTTCACCCTTTTTATTCTACTGATTATAAATTAATAAATACTTAAATGTATGCAATAATAGTTTCGCTCGTCAGTCTTGGGTCTACTTTACTATGATTGTGTTTATAATTATTATTTTGTATAATTTAAATTGATATTGTCATGCTTTGCTTGATCCTTTATTTAAATCATAATTTGAATTTATCTTGGTATTGAAGGCCTTTGATCTGATTTAGTTTACCTTGGTTTTGTGAAATTAAGCAACTAATAAAGCAATGAACAAATATTGTTTTTTATTTGATGAAAATTTCGTTAATCCCCATACTAGCACAACCTTTAATGCAAATTATACCACTACTATTTTTCACATAGCAAGTTAGCAACGACAACATGTACATACATATATTTATGCTAAAACTATAACGTGATCATCTTTTGGTGATAGCATGAACTCTAAACTTGAAATGCAATGTACCCGCTACTCAAGTGGTATATTGTAAGAATTTAAGGCTTTTGATATTTAAAGTTGCTTCAGTTCAAGGGTTGCATTTGTATATCCACATGTGGAATCAAATGCAGACCATGTTTAACTATCATTGACAAATCAGAAATAAGCATCATGCTGCAAGAGGAAAAAAAAGCTTTTGAACTTTCGGTTCTTGTTCTCAATACAGGTATACCCTATACTCGCTAAGACCGAGTAAAACTATTCTGTTTAGACAAATAATTCATGAAAATGTTCCACATAATTATGCTTCTTGATTATGAATTACAGTAACCGAGTTGACTTGAAATTGCTTAAAAATCATATTCTTGGATCTTCATTCACTAGAAGTCAAATGGATGATTGCAATTAAGAACTAAACTTGAATTTCGTGCCCATCATTCATCCCCAAAAAGTCAGCTACTCCATAGTCCATGCATGTGAGCCTCTGACTGGTGTATATTTTTAATAGGGTCTGACAACTGGAAGTTGATACTCGATACGCGGATACCATCAATTTGAACAAGTAACAAATCATAGTCCCCATTTTATGAGTAACTGTAAAGATTCCCATAGATAGTATAATAAAGCTCAAATAATTCAATCCGTACCAAATACTAGAAATCAATCATATAGCGTGATGTACATTTCTCGGAAGTTATCTTGTAATTAACAAATAGAAAGATGTGAGTAAATTCAGATATGAGCTGGCAATGTGAGGCATCACACTTCCAGACTGACGGTAATTACAATGCTATAAATGCTCGCATGAAACCCCTCTTATCTAAAAGGCGAAAATTTCAATCGCTTCCATGCTCTAGAGAGTTCAAAACTAGTCTGCAATAGTATTTCTTTTAGATATAAATACTTCAATCTGCCATTCGAGGATTCCAAGATATGGGTCTTGTCTGCCTGCCTTGGTTGATTGCGGATGCAAGAAGTTTTAGAAAACTGAAATCTCTATGGACCAGCAAATATCAATCCGATGTCCCAAAGGGTCATCTAGCTGTGTATGTTGGTGAAATCCAGAAAAGGCGTTTTGTCATCCCCATATCTTACTTGTACGAACCATTGTTCCAAGAATTTTTAAGTTACTCGGAGGATGAATTTGGATTTGATCATCCAATGGGAGGTCTAACCATTTCCTGCCATGAAGATGCATTTGTTGAATTCACTGCAGCATTGTATGCTTCCTGATGCATCTAGCAATAACCCTCTACAATTTTGTTCTGAAACATATTTCCCTTAGTATATTATCCTATTGTAGGTATTTTGATATAGAGGTGCATTATGCTACCATGTAATTTTATGAAATCTTAAACTAAATATGAGGCTAAAGGGTTTCATTCCATTCATATTAAAGCAACCATTGCTTTTGTAGTTTTGTTATAGTTTTTTTGGGGGATATTAACAAAACTAACTCTTATAAATGAGCTAATTAACAAGAATAACCTATCTATTTCGGAATTTGAAAAATAACTATTTTCTTCGAAATGTCGCATTTTAGACTAGTTATTTGTGTTCCGTAGTTACCGGTTATTGATGATGCATACTTACCTCCACATGCTGAAATGGTTTACTGATCTCCATTGTCTTGGATAGAGACAGTCGGTTTACATCTTGATTTTGGCAAAATTTTCAGGAACAAATGCGTTCGAAAGTGTTAATGTGTAACATCCGTTTTCCTAGGAATTTTTATTTTCAAATCAAAAATATCAAATATTGAAAAAATAGTCCTTACGTGGGGCTTACATTATGTGTATACTGGGCATAAGTCACTAAAGAATAGCGGGGGAATTCGTTGAGTACGATGGGCGTACATAAGGAGTTGGTACAGCGTACTCATGTTGATCCCAAAACATTAAAATTTTAGGGTTGAGACCTATTTAAACACCCTAAGTCCCTTAAGGCCTCTTCATGTTCAACCTCCACTTTACCAAAGCAGTCATTTTGAAACCCTAGCTACTTTGTAATGATCTTGAACATTTTAAGTGAGTTTGTGTGTGTTTTGTTATGAAGAAATTCTTTAAAGGAGCATTGGTGAGCTTAGAGGTTGAAGATCTAGAACTTTCATCCCATGTGCAAGCCTCATAAGGTATAAAGCTTGAAACTTTATGATTCCATCGTAAAATCTAGGTTATCTTTGAGTTTTCCATATTTTGGTACCTGTTAGTAAAAGCCACTTCAGAGTTTGTGATTGTCATATCTTGTCATTTTTGAGGATTCTAAGTCATAAAATTGGGATTTTGATGGTTTCTTTTCACCCATGCAAGGGTTTGAAGTCAATAAACGTTGATATATGGCTTAATTTTATGCTCTATTAATCCATGCAAAAGCTTAAGTCAATGACTTTATCAGTTAAGACCTTCCCTAGATTAACATCTGTGAGTTAGACGTGTAGTCTTTAGGTATTAAGAAATTAATAGCGGATTTTGACATAAATGGGATAACGCAGGGCATAACCATGGAACACAAAACTCATAACGGGACTTGCGCAATTTTATTTTTTGTGAAAACTCAATACGCATGGTGTAGTAAAGGAGTACGCATGGCATACTCCTAAAAGAAGAAATCGGTCATTTTATAACTTTCGATCATGTTTGGTTCGGTTTATCATTAAATGGGAACAATGTTCTTTTACCCTAAAAGTGAGAAAGTGTGTTGTGGACCCTTGATTATGGTTATTACCTAAGTATTAATTAGTGTGAAGAGATTCTTGGATCGGTAGTTTGGGTGTTAGAGTTATCAGTTATCGACTGAGGTGAATTTGCTTACCATATTGTAAGATACTAGGTGTCGCATGTGCTTGCTATCTTTGTCACTCTTGTTGTATGCCTGAATGTTTGTATCAGATAAGTATGTGGCGGTGAAATACACCCATTCGTTTGAAAAAACTGAATGAGTTAGAAGAGTCTCTGGGTTGAAATAGGTTCGTTTGGTTAAAAAACACCGATTTAGTCGGAAGGGACTATGGGGTGATATAAATTCAGCGGTGAAATAGACCCATTCGGTTGAAAAATACCGATTGAGTCAGAAGGCACTCAAGGGTGAAATAGACTCGTGGGAGAAATAGACCCGTTATAGCCTTGTGATTGTATGTATGTATGGTATACAATATTTTGGGGAACTCACTCTTTGTCCTTATAGTTTATGTTTAAACTGTTTTTTAGGTACTTCTCATTCGAAAGGGAAGGACCTGACATGAACGCACAACATCCACCAGTGTTCTTCCTTTTATGATTTTTGGAATTCTACTCTAATAACTATTTTCTACATTTTCACACTTTGATGGTTTTCAAATGAAAGATTGATGGTTTCAGTTAATTTTAAAATAAAAGTTTTTACTTAGTATTTTTAGGATGTTACAAGTTGACATCTTTAACATCCGGTTCAGGTATAAATCAACTTTCTTGTATTTACTTTAAAATGGGTGGCCACGATGTGGTGGAGCATCACCATAACATGACATAACATTTTGGATCGCGGGCTTCCAATAACCCGCCACGATCTGGTCTTGGGGCACCACGACACGATAGGTGTTTTAGTGAAAACCTTGATTTTGAGCTTTGGACCTTTACAAGGAACATTAAGGCTAGGGTTTCAGGCTCCATTGAAGTTTTGAGCTCATTCTTGGTGCTTTTTGGTGATATTAGAAGGGTAATGAAGCTCTTGGTGAGGTGCTTACTTAGCAAGCATCATTTCTTTAACTAGCTTATCTCTTGGACCTTAGTGAGTGCCCAAGACTCAACCTTTTCTTTCCCTGGTGTTATATCTCTTTTTTTTGTCCCCCCTTTTCGTTGTTTTGATGGACGTAAGTAATGGGATCTCATAAATTTTCAACTTTATGAATCTCCAGGTCAAATAGAGCATTTGGTTTGTTGGATCTAAATTATAATAATTTTTTGATGTCATGCATGGGGTTTTAGTCATTAAACCCTATTTTTTTGAGCTAAAAGGGAAAAGGCATGTATTAGACATGCAACTCCATAAAGCCATGGTTTTTAAGGTCACTTTGGAGTGTTAAATCTTTCTAGAAACTTTGGAGGTGTACCTCTAAGGATTTGGTGCTTAATGAGAGTCATGATGCATTACGTTACCCTTAGTGGTTAGGGTTAGGACCGTGGCTTTAAACCCCATGTGATCAATCATATGTGATTGTAACACATATTCCAACTGTTTCCTAGTCCCAAAGAGTGTTTCCTTGCATGTTAGTTGTTTAAAACACTAATTTCATGCCTATATATGCCATTATATGTCACATAGGAGTCTTTTGTGTCTTGGGAATTCATTCGTCGAACTTCTCCTCATTACATGAATCTGCAATTGAATCACCCACATAAGGTGAGTTCATACCCCTATAATCAATATTTTAAATGTTTTAAATGCTTTGTGTGTGTTTGTGGGTGGGTGGGGGGGGGGGGGGGGGGAATCAGTTGAGCACAATGATAATTGTGTAAATGTTATTTGTGATAACTATCATATTCAAAGGATTTCTTATGCTTATAAGTGATCATAACCAGTTCAAAAAGTCTTTTAAAAGTTATGTTACTTTATTGTTTATAAAACAACATTTTTAAAGTACAATCTTAACTCAATAGATAAATGAGTCTTTTATTTAAGTTAGTACAAGTTCAAGCAAACATACTAGTAAACTATAATAGGTATAGTTTAGGGGATCAGTACATACTATAAAGAGAATCATGGAGGAACATACTATACGCTAGAACAGAAGGGGCATACTATAAAAAGAACAAGATAACATTAAATGTGAGACTACTTCACGTCTTAACAATTTGTTTCTTAAATTGTGTTTTGTAACTAGAATCTCCTGGAGGCAGAGCGTTATTAGTATGGTTACAGCCACATCACATTTTTTTAGCTTAATAATATGAGTTGGTTTTAAGGTAGTCAGTACTTCAGTAGTCACTCTAAAATACTACTGTATACTTTCATAACTACAAAAGACAGACTTTACAGTCGAGTCTTAGTACATTCACTAGAAAGGGGCCTATAATGCTAACTTTATGATTCATTGGTGCATACATCAGGGATATATCTTAATCAGGTCCGATAGATAGTAGAGTGTATGTTTTCCGCTTCATTTCATGTTCCTTGTTTGGTTGTGGTCTTAGAGCAGATTGACCCGGTCTACTATCTATCCGATCTTACTTATATATATATATATATATATATATATATATATATATATATATCCGTATACACCAAGTAATCATAAGGAGTACCAGGTATGGGTTAGGTCATAGTATACAAATTTAATACACCGATTTCTAGTACAAAAACATACTTTTCAAATACAACATGTAGTAGACTAAACTAGAAACTAATTAGTAAAAGCGTTTAATCCACTTTATTAAACTACTATAAATTAAAGGACCTTTAGTGGTTACTTCCATAATACCTTAGTTTATACATCAGAGTTATAAATAATTAATATCTGATAGGCCGTTGGATGTGTGCTTTCCGCCTTACTTCTTGTTCCTTGTTTGGGGTTGGGCTAAGGGCAGATTCACACAATTAACTATTCGTTCGATATTGGATTATATATAACTAGTATAAACTAATTGATTATAAAAGGAACTATCGTGATTACTATTTTACTAAAGGAAATAACGTTTTTTCTTAAAGAATGCTTTCATCAATTATAAAGGAACTATTACATGTAACTCCGTGAGTACCAAGTGAATACACCCGGTTTATATAAAACGAAGACCTAACAAACAAAGGGGATGTATGACTTCCACCTCATTTCCTATTCCTTGTTTGGTTGTGGGCTTAGGGCAGACTCACACAACCGATTGTTTGTTTACTCTAGGTTTTTATATAACTTGTATCCATTTAGTACTCACCGAAAGGATTGTAGAGTCATTTTTACTTATCTTTCATCATATTAGAAGATATAGGATCTTCTGGAGGAACAGGAGAACTTTTCTATAAAGAACTTACTTTACAATACTAATATCTTATGAACTCACCAGCTTAAATGTTGATTTACTCTTTTAAGTAACTTGTATTCCCAAGAAACTAGGAGAGAGGTACGTACGTTGGGATTCAGAGGATGAATTATAGTAGCTTCATGGCTTATTTTACTATTTTCTTTTGGAATCAATCTTTTGTGAATCACTACTTGTAAACACTTTAATGTTAATACAATTTTTTTTGTTACTACGATTAATATG